GTCTTCGGAGTGCTGGAGTGATTGGCCCTTTCTTCATCGAAGATGATTTTTTATGGCCTGAACTGAACAATATTGATGCCCAAGACATTTGGTTTAAACAGGATGGAGCAACCTGTCACACATCACGAGACACAATCCGGTTATTGGAGCATAAATTTAATGATGAAGTTCCAGAAACGAACCTGTCAACTGGCCAGCTCATTCGTGCGATTTGACTCCGTTATAGCTATGTTAAAAGTAAAGTCTACAGGAACAGTCACAAGAAGATTGAAGCTTTGAAAGAGGAAATAACCCCTGTAATCGCTGAGATAGAGCCGCAATCATGTGACAGTGTCATCGAGAATTTTAACAAAAGAATGACTATTTGCAAGTTATTTCGGGGCGGTCATTTGCAAGATATCATTTTCCACACATAATTTTCTTAAATCGCCATACATGTATCTTACATTTTAGATATATGTTTCACTTGAAATTGTTTTATTACTTAATAAAAAAATACGTCGATATTGGTCAACCCCTTACATACTCGGTACAGTATCCTACTTGCGAGCATTTGGCTTCGATTCTGCAGGTATGCTAGGAAGTGCTATGATACCTGCATAAATGTAACGAATAAATCAACTGGTCGTAGACACATATAGCAGTCTAAGGCTTCTTTCACATTGTCAAGCTATCGGGGTCACTTACCCAAGAAACTAACGCAGCTTTACTACTGAATTCTAGATTACACATACGGTTCAAGGGTAAAGGTAGCATGGTATCAGACTATGCTAGTAACTTCGCAATAAAACTGCAATGGTCTAGCTTCGAACACAAAAGCACCTATAACTACACTTCCTCCCTTATTTGATAGCTCCTGCAAATATTGATATAAGGATAAGCCTTCCTCATATTCTCCAATATGTTTAGATAAACCTTTACACTATCATCGCATCTTTAGGCCATGTCGTAATTCGTATGGTGGCATTTTCTCTTATACCTATGATATCTACATTTATACAGATAGTTAGTATATTTTCAATGTCCTCAAGTTGAGAAATCTTCCTCGCATCTTAATACGTACATTTGGGACGTCCTTGGCTAGCCGCGATTGATGACCGCATAGATAAAGGAATGCCAGCGAAACGTGCAATTTATACCTGAGATCAAAATAGCTGTTAAAAGCTCCGAGAGCACGACGATAAGATAATGACTTTAAATTCAATGACGAGATGAACTAACTATTAAGTCACCGGTTACGCATCTCCATTGTTGATGTTCGTTGACCTTACTAGCAGATGAGATTGTTTATTGGAGTATAATTATTGATCCTGCTAATTACAGCTCGCCACTCTAGTTCCTTGGAGATATATTGTTTATTTACTATGATGCTTCATGTATATGTATTATCTGGATATTGGCCTTGTGATACTTTAGCGAATAGTACTAGAGAATGAAGCGACGAAGCTGATATTGAAATTAATAATGAAAAGCCTAATAGCTATTTATGAATCTAGAGCGTAAGGACGGTGGTTTTAGCCAGCGGTGTAAAACTAGACCCAAGGCGTATGTCCGAGAAAGATAGAAAATTTTAAATACAACCTGCTAATGTCATAAGTTTAGAATAACTCTCAGAGATAGAAATGAAAATGAACCGTATTATTAAATCACCGGTAATTCCAGCGTTACCTAGCAACAAATAAATAGGGACAGCTGTTGCCGTCGCTATATTGCGTTCAAAATAGACTAGTACAAATAAAATGTCATAGCTACACCAGCGTCCTAGGACCATGGGCTGAAAAGTAGGGCTTAACGACCGGGAACCATATTCATAAAGTGTACTTTACCGCCCGGTCGCATTTTAACACTATGGTATAGGATTCGGCACCAGCCTTAATTTTATTGGTCAATTTCAATTTATTTAACCAATAAGAAGCTGGGTGCCGAAATCACTACCGGAATGTTAAACAGTGCTGAAAACAGTGTCAGAATGTTATCAATTTAAACTGCTTCTACTAATATATATATATATATATATATATATATAACTTGAGACGTGGTCATTGTCGTCTAGACCAGTTAGGTGAAAAATTAAAGCTTCCGCCTTTTGTTGGGTACTTCGACAAAATTTAAGCAAGGAGGACTCTTTATACTTTTTTTATTCTCTATAGCTTTCAATGGTCTTTGCCATCATCATCAGGAGAGTAGTATGTGAGGATATTGCTAATTGTTGTTTACGTTAAGGATGAGGGAAACACCCAGTAACATGGTGAAAGCTGGATAAATGGTAAAATGATCAAAATTATATAAAATACACACAGCTGTATGACAAGAGCAATTTATCGCGACAGATTCCGCCAACGGGTACACCCAGACAGAAGGACATTTGTGCAAGTGTACCAAAGACTTCGAGATACAGGAAGTGTTCAGCCCACTAATATTCGCACTCGTGAAAGACAGGTTACTGTAGAGCAGGAGGAACAAATTTTAAATATCGTGGAAATCAATGCAGATATCAGCACTCGGGAATTAGGCCGCCGCGTAGGACTATCGCATACCATAGTCCATAGAATCCTACGGGAAAATTAGCCTTATCCCTACCATGTACAACGAGTGCAGGCCTTTTTACCAGAAGACTATCCTCGCAGACTAACATTCTGTCTTTGTTTTTAGCACAAAAACATTGAAAATCCGGATTTTTTAAAAACATTCTAGCGACGGACGAATGTACTTTTACGCGATACGGGATATTAAATTTCCATTATACTCACACGTGGGCCCAAGAAAATCCTCATACCATTCGTGAAGGTCATTTCCAACAGCGTTTTAAAATAAACATTTGGGCGGGTATTCTTGACGATCAGGTAATTGGCCCTTTCGAGTTACCCACAAAGTTGTCTGGAGAAGGATACCTTAGCTTTCTAGCCAATAACCTACCAGAACTTTTGGAACAGACCGTAGACAACATGCCATTACAACGGAGACAGAATTTGTAGTTTCTTCATAATGGAGCACCACCACACATTTTTAGAGGCGTCATTCAGTATTTGAATGAACATTATCCAAATCGCTGAATCGGTCGAAATGCTCCTGATCCTCGAAAATGGCCAGCAAGGCCTCCAGACCTCAATCCGATGGGTTTCTGGTAGTGGGGAGAACTTAAAAAGATGGTTTAAGGGGCTGGTCCAATAACAACAGAAGTACAACTTCGCGAAAAAAAATTTAATGCGGCTGAAATAATAATTGGACTACTTCGAGGACCTAGAGTAAGAAGAAACTGGGTTCGTCGTAATGATGCTTGTGTGGAAAGTGAAGGACGACATTTTGAACACCTTCTTTAAATACAAAATAAGTGCAGTGTGGGTTTTAAAAAGAAAAACAGTCTATGTATCAAAATTGTGTTCCCTATTTATAAGTGGAGTTGTTTAATACGTTCAATAAACTTTCACACACCAGGTGAAGCGCTGAGACAGTTAGTGGTAACTCCGTTTTCTTTAACTGTTTGCATTTTACGAGTACATTATCAAATAACGAAATAATACTTAAGAGCCAAAAATAACAATCTCGTCTTTATTTACACTGCGTTCCGTCGTAATTTGCGTCTGACATTGCGGCGTTGTCAGATTTTATTTTACTATAAAGTCTCTTTTCTCTAATAAAATGCCGTTTTGACCTCCATGTTAAATGAAAGTTTTTGCTTCTTTCAACCCCCTCTATCACCCATTTAAATAATGACTATCATATTTTCCTTGTATATAGGCTGGTCCCAATGTGATGGTTAGCTTTGTCAAAATGAGTAGTCTTGGGGTTGCATGAGGAATAAAGGAGCATGAAGTCCATCTGCCAGTGGCATATGTATCTACATTGATAGATTGTATGTGTATTGTAGGAAAAATAAATAATTTACACGGCATATATCTCAATAGTACAATTTTAAAATAAACACGGAAAACCCCAAAAAGATAAACTTGTGCAGCATAACCTTAGTAAAATTTCAATGTAATCTGATATAGTAAGAAAACTGAAACTTACGTTTTGGTAGAGCTATAAAAAGAATAAGTATGCACGATCACTCACAAAGTGTCCACGGAAAGTAAACGCAATAAACGACACTGTGTCTAGGTAAGACACATACTGATTTGATCGTATAGCAGTTCAAATGATAAGATAAACAATCACTTATCAAATTATCGCTTTTAGATTATCGGTTAGAGTACAGCCAGTTGTTCGGCATCTCAGCTTACAGTTTACATAAGATAAATAAGTAGACGTTGATGATACAGTGGGTCACAAGGCATAAAACTGGTAAACCCATTCATTCAGTCACCAAGGCCCGATTTCATTAGTTCGGGGTGTAAAAGTTCTGCCTGTGGCCCAAATTCCACCAATGAGAAGGCTTTTTTGAAACAATGAATCTAGCGAATATGGTCGGCCCCTTGTGAAATGTCTCGCAAAACTAGAGGAAAACTATACGATTTGTGTAAGGGACTCTGAATTCTCATATTAAATCAAGAAATACTTCATACTAATATGGTTTAGCTACAAAAAGCTACTTTTTCCTTTGTGTGACTACACAGAATTTGTGATCCAGACACAAATTCCGCCAGTTGAGAAGAAAGGTTTGCATTATAGTCGCAAATTCGTTGCAAACATGGGTAGAACCTAATACAATAGACTGATGACGGCCATTACTATTTTTAGTTGGCGGCATTTGTGTCCGGATACAAATGAAAAAATAGGTTTTTGTAACTGAACCAGGTGATACATGAAGTGTTTCTTGATTTTGTGTGAGAAGCCCATGTCACACAAATCGTATAATTTGTCTCTGGCTTGCGAGACATTTTAGAAGAAATCAAGCATATCATTAGATCCATTACTTCTCATTGATGGTATTCCATAAGCTTTTGATTCGCACGGGTCAATAGTAAAATCGGGCCTAAGCACCTTATAATGTACAGTTACTGCACTTCTTTTGGGAAAACGATAAGCTTTGATGAGCGCAGACAGTAAAATAATATATCCGATTACTTAGCTCCAGAACACAGTCATCCAACAGCATGTAATACTATGAGTAATACCATATATTTTATTTTTTTTTCAGAAGCCGCGGCCTACCTCAAAAATAAGGAATATACTGTTTATATGTGCCCTAACGTTACTGTTAGTACAATTAGCTTCCTCAGAAAGAGGTGAGTTTGAGTCACTCCTTATCAATAAATCATGGTCCACTAAGCTTAAGTCAGTAACAGTGTGTAGATACTAAAAATTGCATGCCATTATATAAAATTATGAGATTTGGGTCTAATACTGGTTTTGATTATTCTTTGAAGGTACATACATAAATCATACATTTGAATACCTCGCGAGTCACACAATTTAAATTCTTCAAGAGAAAATAAAAGCTATGGTCTTAACACATGAAACAGCTTTAAAGTCCTTTTTGGGCTTAATATTTTATTCCAGTTTCGACAGGGTGAAATTTCAAATAAACTTGGTAGTTAGTTTATTCGTAATAATAACGGAAAAAGCCCGAAGAACTATTCTGAACTTACATCGTTTAGGCGGGAAATAGGGTTACTGGTATGTAGAGTGTTTTCAAAGTTGAGTCATTTATTTTAACTGCTTGTAGGACTCGTCAAAAGGAGTTGATACACCAAAAATCACCTATATAAAAGTTGCATAATAAAAGAAATAGTAACAGATTGAAAACTTCAAAAAATAAGAATGCTACTACACAGATATTTTTATATTCTCGGCCACTGCCGTGTAAAATCTTAGCGTTTTTTTGCTTACTACTCTTATAGGCTTATTTCAGATGACGTTGCTCACGTTCGTTGTGTAGGTGTTCAGATGGCACGCGTACGACTTCGTACAAGTTTTATATAGAGTGAGACTAGGTGACTTAGTATCAGTTTATTGTGTTTAATCAACGAAAATGAATGTGGGAGAAGCTGTTTGTATTTGGTTAGCATATAGAAGAAGTAAACGACGTAGGAGGGAAAGGACATACTGGGTTCACCCAATTTTAAGGAATAGGCTTTCTACGTTTATAGCCTTCGAAAGCATGAACCTAAATTTTTCAACTACTCTAGGATATCAATAAAATCGTTTGATAACTTACTGTCCATCATTAAGGATGATATTGTAGCAGATGCAAATGCAGTAAGGTATTGCATTTCACCAGAAGAGAAACTCATTTTTACACTAAGCTATGTTGAATGCACGTTTGGTATTGCTTGTAATAAATGGCGAATATTACACCGGCCACTGGATGTAAACTCAGAATTCGCAGAGTATTGTTAAGGCAATATCAATTTTACAAAATTACGTGCGAGTGAGTGATGGATATAATTTTGAAGATATACTAAATACTGACAACATTTAATCGGTAAACATACTGGTCGTAATATAAAGGATGCAGATAGGGTTCGAGTAAAATTGACAAAGTACTTTGTGTATGAAGGGAAACTTGAATGGCAGGATAGAATGATCTAAATTGTTGTCATTATTGTAAACATCAATTATAAATAAAGCATTACGAACAATCGTACCTAATATTTTCTTTTTTTCCTTCTGTGTCATCGGATCGGTAAAAAATTAGGACCATTTCCTCTAAGGCCCTTCTTTTTGCCGTCTTATTTGTGTATAACGTGGAATGCATGTCCCAAATCGCTGGCCTCTTTTTAGTTTAATCAATGAAAAGATCGGTGTTGAATTATTCTACTTCCATTTCGCTATCTACCATATGTAAGGAATCATTTTTTCACAAGACCGCCTGAATGCTAAGAAAGACGCGCGCCAGACTTGATTTAGCTGACGCGCGTACGGCTGAAGCTCGCTTTGGAAATACATAGACTTAATACTAGCTTGACGCGCGCATGAGAAATCATACGCGCGTACGACGTCACTAGACGCGGATAATCACAATACGCGCGTCGGTAAGCGTCGACGCGCGTATTGAAATACTAGACGTTCCCAGGCGGCATACCAGGTGTGTCTTGCAAAAAAATAATTCCTTACATATGATAGTTAGTGAAATGGAAGTAGAATAATCCAACACCGATCTTTTCAGTCATGAAATTAAAGAGGGGCCAGCGTTTTGGGACATGCATTCCACGTTATACTCAAATGAGACGGCAAAAAGAAGCGCCTGGGAGGAAATGGTCCTAATTATTTTACAAATCCGATGACATCGAAGAAAAAAAGAAAATATTAGGTACCGTTGTACGTAATGCTTTATTTATAGTTGATGTTTACCATAAAGACAACAATTTAGACTATTGTATCCTGCCATTCAAGCTTCCCTTCATTTACAAAGTACTTTGTCAATTTTACTCGAACCCTATCTGCATCCCTTATATTACGACCAGTATGTTTCCCGATTTAATGTTGTCAGTGGCGCTATGTTTTGTATATCTTCAAAATTATATCATTAATTCGTACGTAGTTTTGTAAAATACGTATTGCCTTAACAATACCCTCTGCGAATTCTATGTTTACATCCAGTGGTTGGTGTAATATTCGCCATTTGTTACACGCAATACCAAACGTGCGTTCAACATAGCTTAGTGTAACAATGAGTTTTTTTCTGACGAAATGCAATACCTTACTTCATTAGCATCTGCTACAGTATCATCCTTAATGATGGACAGTAAGATATCAAACGATTTTAATGACATCTTAAGGTAGTTCATGTTTTCGAAGGATAGGATACAGTGTAAGGTATAAACTTGTAGAAAGCCTATTCCTTAAAATTGGGTGAATTCAGTATGTTCTTCTCCTCCTACGTCGTTTACTTCTCCTATATGCTAACCAAATACAAACAGCTCCTCCCACATCCATTCTCGTTGATTAAGAACAATAAACTGACACTCGATCACCTAGTCTCACTCTATATAAAAGTTGCACGAAGTCGGTTGCGTTCCATCTGAACACCGACACAACAAACGTGCGCAACGTCGGCGCGCGTCATCTGAACTAAGCCTTATCGTTTATCTAAATTTGGCAATCTTGTTATGCTATTGTATGGTGTGGTTCGATCAGTTGTATGTATTTTAATAGTGCGTATACTTTCATTCGTCTGATTATTTTGTGGGAAAAAATGGCCAATTTTTACGAAAACTATGGACTGGTGGACGGAATACTAACATAAGGAGAGTGCCAATAGAATGCAGCCGCAGCATGCAGGTTGTATGCCGAAAAGTGACCTTTATGAAATCATCCGGCCTCACGGATGTTTGTAAATTGAGTTATTAGACTTCATGACACTATATATTTAGAAGAGGAGGTCACGCTGGAAGACCTGCTCAACCTGAAATGTTACAAATTCAGGAAGGTATTTTAGAAATGGTCGAAGACGACCCAATAATGAGTACTAGAGCCATAGCAGCTCTTGTTGATGTTTCTCTTAGTAAAGTGTGGAAGACAGTACGACAAGAACAGTATTCTACTAATCATTATTAACGGGTACAAGCGTTACAACCTAAAGATCATCCTAGAAGAGTTGCATTTTGCCAGTGGCTTTTAGAACAGTTCGGCAGAAATGAAAATTTAACGAAATTAATTTTGTGACGAGACGACCTTTAAACGAAATGGACTGCAAAATTTCCACAACAATCATGTTTGGGCAGTAGAAAATCTGCATTCGCTAAAACGAGAACTCATTTTCACTATAGACTTTGATTAAATGTTTGGGCTATCGTGGTAAATCAGTAGCTGGTTGTAAGTTTCGCTGTACCGTGTGCTGTGGCAGTTTTTTTTTCTTTTTCAACAGACGCGTCTACTTCCTGTCGCTTGCGGTTTTCTCTTCGCCAAAACAAAGTGCATGCCTGGGGAAATGGCTGCATGATGAAAAAGTACAAAATAGGGAAATATACGTCGTTGTTCGGCGACATCAGGACCGGACCTAGACACTTCTTGCGTATTACCTTGACGCTCGCGCATAGTAGAAATAGGTGTTCCTTTTAGCAAAAATGAGTTCAAACATATGTGATTTCATTTAGCGGCCAGGTAGTTATGAAATTCTACCAGGATAAGATTATATAGTGTTTTTCAAGATGGCGGGCGCCGTATTGGGACGTTTTATTTTAAAAATAAAGGCTCATGTAATACCTCATTTTAAATCTGCTTATGTGCGCTTTCTAACACTAGAATTTAAATTTACGACATTTTATAATGGCGTACTAACAGGATGTCGAATTTGAGAATTTATGTAGAATCCTTTATAACAAAGAGACTTGGCATGCTAAATTTATATCTTGAAAGGATCTAACAAAATATGTCATAAAATGCGGATTATTCTATTAGAAAAATGTCAAAATCCGTTTTTTCAGCAGAACGTGTTATATTTTATCGCACATTCAGATAGACTCACTCAAAGCGTTTTGGTGACTGTCTGTTGAGCCATAAAAACGTTAGAGAAAATAAATTCATACTGTAGGTTTAAAAAATACTAGTAAAGAGATTCAAAATGGGGCCTCATGACCACCATTTCCTTTCAAAAAATGTCCTAAGATGATGCCTAGTCGTCATCAAGACATTTTCAGCTGCCACTTTATTAATTCCATCACCCCGAATTTCAGCTTGCTTTCTGAAAGGCGATGCATGTAAACATCGTCAAAAGTTCAGCGGATCTACTTGTGATATTCTAAATGTCAGATGCAATGTAGTAAAAACAGGAATAAATAAGAATAATATTTCGTAATTTTATAGTTACATAATATTACGATATATAATGAAGATGCGTGGATAAATAACAATTAAATATATTTGAAGACAGATTGTCCAAGCTTAGGTGGAAGGCAATCTACCTTTTCTCCAACAAGCATAATTAGTCATCAAGACAGACAATGCAAAATATTATATTCCAGGATTGGTAGCCCTTGGAGCTATAAGTGACAGTGCTCAGTGAGGATATATTCAATGACTTCAATACTTATGTCTTGTTTGTGTTTCAATGTATGAGCTCACTTTTAAAAATTAGTGTTATTTCAATAACTCAACAAGAGGCATACGCATAGATTTTTGTATGACCTAAAGAGTAGAAGCTTGATTTTTGAGATTATTTTGAACTTTTTTTTTCTAATGACATCTTAACAAGGTCCGTGAAATTTTAATGGTGCTGGCAACTGAACACTGAACTTAGATACATTGGATTTATATTATTAGCATTACCGCATAACATAAAGGGTGAATTTACCTATTGTATTTAATTAAAGATTTTTCAAGTAACTGTATTCAAATGCTACAGATTGAAGAGCCCATACAGCATTTTTCTCTGAACTTGACCAGCTGACCGAGTTGATTTGGTTTTTACCCCCAACGTCACTTCAGCTTCAAATTTCGGGCGTCTGCTCCGTTCCAACACGGTGCACGTAATAAATATTATGTAAACAGAAATTGGCGAATTAGCCGCATATTAAGTACGATAAGACATAAGCTCAATCTTATCGCATCCATAGCTGTTGGTTCACTGACGACTTGACGTTTGCGAGTAAATCTAACCTCATGTTCTAAGTAGGTACTGTGTCTTCGCATTGCCTACATAGAAACGTGGACAAAGTATTCGCTTTAATTTGACACCTGATTTCTAACAATCCTGTATAGTCAAATTAGCATGACAGTGGCAACGTTTTGATGGAAAACGCAATGCTCTACGGGCTACGGTTACCGAGATATGATCGTTTTTCATTTTTTGTTTTGCTGAATCACCTACAATTGCGAGTAAATATCGCTATAGCTCTTAGATCATTGCGGTTTCAATCAAAAATCATCAAATGGCATCCCCAATCGCCCAAAAAAATTTGTTGGTTCGAATGGCAAGGCGCCATCGAAATCAATTTTAACGATAGAACTCCAATTGCAATTGGGTTCCTGGTTTAAGAATCTTCTTCGTCAACTGCCTACGTCTATAGTTTTTAGTGTCTCTTTCTCCACTGCATTCGGTCCGGTCCTGGATAGTGCGCCATGTAGAGAGCGTTGACGATTTTAGAAATCAACGTGACGTGAAGGTAAACCACGTATATTATATCCAGTTGCAGTCTGCGGCAGGCTGTTACGTACTCTTTTTTTTAGTTGTTCTTGGGGCTTATTTGACCATGTAAAATGTGGAAAGGCTGATTGTACGGCGCGTACTTGTTTCAGAATGAGCAGTCGTTTCACCAGGTATATTCACACGACACAACGAATAATAAAAGCACCATTCAGAAAAACAGTGCAAGGGGTGGAAACATGGTGTTTTAGCCGTTCGTGCTTCACCCCAAAAGTGAGAAGGAACTTGGAAGACTATTCGAAACATTTATGGGACAATTTCAAAATTTCGTCCAGTCAAGGATTATTGCAACAAAAACTCCAGTTTTTGAAAGTGGAGGTTTCAAAGCATTCTCTGCCGAGGAGTTTTGCTCACATACGTAAAACATACAAATGCGATAGTGACTGTTCTTTTCATCTTCGTGTCACCACTTGTTTGACAACTATCCTACCAATTACATTTTGCAAGATTAAGTGTCATCTATTACCAGAATTTACCACTGCGAAAGTGAAAACAGATAGTAATAGGTTGCGCTTTGTGTTATCTTTTCTCGATATACCTTGTTGAAATGCTCAGGTTTCGTTTGTTATCCACCAAGACCGAGCCTTCATACACCATGCTGGAGAGTTGCCAGATAGCACAAAGCAGCTGAGCATGCTTGGCTGCCTGTGGTCGGATGAACAAAAGCTATATTACTAATAAAAATGTAGGGTTGTGCTCCCGAAGAAATCTACATTCTCATATTAATTATGTGATATAGTAAAAATTAAGAGATAATTTCTCGAGGAAAGCAGCTCCACACACGTCAGTAATTTATACTCTTGATGTTATAGAAATGTTTTTTCATCGAACTCATCGTCGACAATAGACTATCGTGGCAGCGTAAAGCTGTGACCGCCAAACTATACAAACGTTTTATTTTGAATTAGCTGTTACCCGCGACTTCATAGGCTCGAAAGTTTTACTAACATAAAACATTGTTTCCAGTAGGGATATAAATTTCTGATCACGTTTGGTATCTTTGATGGCATTACGAAACTGACGGCCAACTTGCATGCTTGCAAAGTTTGATTACTTCATTAGTAACGTCACCTACACGTTCCGCGGGTAAGACTGCAGAGCAAAAAATGGATCAAGCCGTAAAAACATTTTCCTTCACCTCCTCTTCAAAAAATTTTTGGAGCTCACTCATTCCCACGTTATCTTCTCTCAGAGCTGGGCTTTGCTATTAAAAGGGTTTCGGGGGCACATTCGTATGTTTGTACTGACCCTTTGGGGCTATCACACGTAATTGGTAGGATAGTTGTCAGCTGCTTGGTGGCGTCAAGGTCAAAGAGACTGTCAGTCTCTGTCTTATATCACATTTGTGGCCTGGTCTTGTAGAGAGTGTAGTCAATCTCAGGGAAGTGTATAAATAACATCGCAGATTCTCATAACAAAATGTACGGGAATCAAAGTGTGTGAAAACTTTTGCAGTATTGTAACCAGCTGAGGTCTGGTATGTGGGTGTCCATGAAAGAAAAATAAATCATATAGATTGCCCGATAATCAACTAGCCCTTACGCAATACAGTTGACTTTTCCAGCACCTTGCATATACAACAGGAGATTCTGTACATGACAAGAATGCCGAACGCATTCTTCAATTTTTTTGACAATACTTACATTTTTTAGCAACGAGAAGAAGACTGCGTAGACCTCAGAAATCCAGTTCAGAAACCTCCCTTACGACAAAAGACCAAGATGTCTCTCCTAGCATCACAAAGCCAAGGCGGACAAGGCCTGCACATAGAAAAGCCTCAGAAAACGCGTTATCAACAGAAACCAAGTCCAAGGATGGCTACAAAGTAAGTAGGTAGGAGAAGTCATAACTACATTCCCTTCTTGGTGGAATACTTGCTCAATAAAGCTAAGAATAGTAAGCCGGACACTAAACGTGTACTGACGTTTCATGCTTATTGGCAATTATCACCACCGCCTAGGTAAGATAACGAACCGGATGGTTCTTTTGCTATCGAATTTGGTTAGACCTTACACCTCCAATAAAGGATACTTTACTTTGCCTCCGTGTGTTGTCCTTTCTAGACTGTGTTGACGGATGCCATTAGACATGAAACATAAATGTACATATTTTATGTCTGCATTTCTTGTTATTCGTCGTGAATAATTTTCTACTTCACGTTTTTCAAGTATCTTAAGCGCCCAGCACAAATGGCACGTAACCACGTAACTAGCACTCCCCACTCAAAAATTATGTACAATTGGGGCCCTATGACAGAACCTTGAGGGACCGCTTCCTAGTGAAGCTTCTAGATGAATTTCATCTCTTAAATCATGTGAGGGCGATACCTCTAGCAGCATTACGTCTGCTTTTAATATTCTCCCTTTCTTTCTAGGTTGTCTGTTATTACACGAATTGGTCCCAGTATCGAGTTAAACTCGGTAAGTTCATGCCCGAGGACATCTTGCCAGACCTCTGCACACACGTTATCTTCGCTTTCGGTTGGCTGAAGAAAGGAAAGTTATCTTCATTTGAAAGCAACGATGAGACTAAAGATGGCAAAGTTGGTCTATACGAGAGGATACTGAAGCTCAAGAAAGCTAATCCTAGTTTGAAGACTCTTATAGCCATTGGTAAGTATGGAATCAGTTATATTGTCGTCAATACTTCCATAAATTCCCGATCAGTTATACTTTTTGTTATGGTAGACACATGACATGAAAAAACACAAGATATGACAAGGTTTTTAGAAAGATCGTGATTCCCAGTCAACTCATGATTAAGGGTCCTACTGACCACCCTGCCAAGACGTGACTAACGTTGAACATCCATTTCAGTAATGCCTTTAAATCTAGTAGCCCAGACGGGAAAACGAATAAACGAAGGAACAAATTCATTATGCTGAACAGGACAGAGGAAAATGCTTTTATATTCTCGAGCAGAGCAGTGAAGTTACTAGCACAGTCGCATACAAAACATGCGTCCTTTCACTTGTTACGAATGTAAATTAACAAAATATTTACAGTTTCTGTTGGCGACAAATGCTAAGCAACAAAAAGCCGTTAGCTAACTATGGTTATAATATGTCAGGAGAATTTTAGCTAACAAGCATGCAGCATTAGATATGACTTGCGGTAGATGCAATGATTATTCGTTATCGGTGCGACTTTTTTGTTTATTGTCATAGGCATGTGTTGATGTTTTTATTGTTCTCCATAGTTACAGATCAAGTAATTACGACAATATTAAAACCATTTTTTTTATGATTCTGAAGGGCAAAGAACATATATACCCTTCACGTCTTCACTAAGCATTATTAGGATTATTGTAGCATTTTATGCATCATTTGAGTTTTATCCAGCGTTCTATGCATATAATTATAACGTGGGTACCATAAACTTGGAGTTTGGACCGATTCAAGGAATCCATCAAATTGCCTAGGACACAGGGGATAATCGAATAACGTACTACTTGGCTAGGCTGGAGCCAGGGGCCCATGCATCGGTCCCGAGCCCAGGTTTCGTAAAAGCAGGTGCCAGGTTAACGCTGAACTCAACTAATATGCGTATAGGGACATGGGAATAGCGTAACAGGGAAGAGACAACTGCAGGAGGGCCAAAAGATTAATAGTGGGCCACCACGCACTCATTATTGGACAGAAGTAGCGTAGTGATTCATACCCATGTGCTGGGAGAGAGACAGCGTTCCAATTTTTAGGCTTTTATGTTGATAATGCAGAGTGAGCAAAAAGGGACAAAGGTGGCCTACCTGTCTTCCCAAACATATTTCATAACCGTACCTTCAAATTATGTTGATGGAAGTCATCTTCAAGTGACCATGTTCAGTTGATCTCACCTTATGATGATTATGAATTATGATATTCCAGGTGGATGGTCATTTGGAACCCAGAAATTCAAAGACATGGTAGCAACAAGATATACTAGACAAACCTTCATATTTAGCGCGATCCCATTCTTGAGGCAGCGAGGATTCGATGGACTCGATATAGATTGGGAGTATCCTAAAGGATCTGAAGACAAGAAAAACTACGTACTTCTGTTGAAAGGTAGGTTTTGTTCATCATAGAATCTTCTACCAAAATTTTACTAACACTACAACGACATTTTCAAATTACTTAAGCCTCTTTTACTGTTATTTGGATAATTAGGAGTAGATTTTCAGTACAATTAACTAGTGAAGCAAGCATGACAGGCACCTCAAGACTAGCTTCTTGCGTTATACATTATCTTGTTATTGCTACCAGTATCTTTGCTATCAGCAGAAGACTGGAAACGATTTTTACATGTTGCCTATGTACACCAAGCTAGAAGCGCGACAGCTCTAGGACGAGATAACAATAGATCGATGTGGGTTTTGTTCAAACTCCGAGAGGCTCTAGGGTTTCCAATTGTGCCATTTCCAGTCAATTTTCGAGTACCTTCCACTGTTTCTACTCTACCGACTGATCCAGTATTTGTGCAAGGTTGCTCGATTTTCATTGTTTCTCAAACTGCCTAGTCAAAAACCAGCAAACATGGCATCGGATTTCGACGCTATATAGATTGCATCCTATTGGCATTGGCCAATATATAAGGCACTAAGCTCTTACTAGTATTTTGAACTTATAGCGTATAACACTCTTAGAATTATCTCTTCATGAATTATCCCTTCTCTGTACAATATCTTTGCAGTTATTCAACAACTATCTTTGCATTGCTTTACTAAGCCGTCATGAAGCTGTTTCTAATCGTGGAGAATGCAAAGTCTAATGAATAATCACGAACACCTTGCTTTAACACTCTATAGCTTCACACCTCCCTAAGGATTGAGCCAAGCCCTTGAAATAGTTAAACCTTTGCTGCATATATTAATTACCTATTCGGACAAATCACTTCATCCAACCTACAACACTACTACACTAAATACGAGTATATAATGACTTCGGCATCGTTAATAGTCATAACAAAAGGCGATAAAGATATTTGCATACAGGAAACACGGACATCTTAATATTCTTAGCAACCGAGAGAACTTTTGGGAAAGTAACGGGCAGTTATGCTGTGTATTCCTACGCATGTACGGAGGTACTTTGAAAACATTAGCAGGATTGAAGTCTACACAAAAGTAGTGATAAGATGAAATAGGCCGAATTCTGCAAATGGTACACCAACATTCATAAATAGGACTATGTCACGAAAATCTTATTGTTGAAATTTACTTGCGTTTAAAACATCTTAACTGCGAACTACTAAATCGGCTAGCACAATATCATCAAAGGTGAATAATAGCCATGGATCTAACTAGAGAGATTTGTAGGCTATGTATTCAGTACCTAACATGGCTCACCAATACACACCAGCTGTAGTCCAAGCCCAGTTCAACTGTTGGCTGCCGCTAGGCTTCTCTTTGGTCTTTAAATATGAACATCACTCAAATAACATTTCGCAATAATAACATTTTTACCGAAGTACCAAAAAATCGTCAAAATTTGGACTGTACTCCGCACTATCTCTTAGTCTTAATTAATTACAGGAATATTCGTTTTAACAGAGTGTGAATCTTTGAAACAATGAAATTTCCCCACAAGGCTACTACTATGCAAAAGCTTTGTAGTTTCAGTCCAGTCTCGCAGATAAGCTAATTGAAGATATAGACACTAATACAGATTTTCCACAGCACTCTAAACAAAACTTTTTCTTTATGATACAGATGATGAAGAAATAATTGAAACAATAAATTCGTTAAAAAACAAATAGTCCCCGGGCTTGGACACACTCTGGCCTGAGCACCTTAAAATCATACCATCTGAAATATCCCCACCTTTAAAATATATTTTTATTAAAATATTCCATAGTGGATATTTCCCAGCTATATTGAAAACTGCAATAATAATACCCATATACAAAACTGGGTAAAGGTCGGAAGTAACTAACTACCGAACTATATCGTCAATATCTTCCTTAGCTAAAATTTTTGAAAAGATTCTGAAAAAACCGTATGATAGTTTACTTAGATAAATACAAAATAATATCAAATAAACAATTTATATTCAGACAAGGGAAATCGACCTAAAGAAGGCATTCGATACAGTAAGCCACATCCAACTCCTCGGGGCTTTAGAAAGAGTAGGCTTCGTGGCACTTCATACTCATTAATGAAATCCTACCTATCAAATAGGACACGTTATGTGAAGATCAATGATACTTTGAGTGATGGTAGAACAGCGAAGTTTTTGTGATAACGACATGAAACTCATGAACTTCCGAGCGTCGGTGGACACTCACCATAATCAAAGCTTAACTTCTCTTGCAAACTTTACCTTAATGTACTTTCTCAGCTTCGATATGACCATGTCTCCCAGAAAAACGCCAATGGATATGTAAATGAGAAATACAGGCTATTCGTGTTGAGTGATTTGGCTACAAACTTTAACAATTCGCTCTCTCAATGAAAACAAACCGTATAGAAAATAACAAACAAAAGTTACTAGCTTTCCAATCAGATTTTTTCAGGCGTCTATGTAATTAATACTGAAAAACTAGATAGTTTGGTCCGCTATCGTAAGAGCACATATTATACAGAAATAAAAGCAATGATTATACCAGGCACATAGGTTTGTAAGATGCAACAAAATACGTTCAACTATGGATCAATAAATTATATCGAACAATATTTTAAGTATTTGTCTAGATTGTATATAATATGTAACGAAGAAGGTCAGGCAAGAAGTGTAATTAATACAACATGCAATTTCAGAGATCACACATTTCTAGAGTGCTATAATGATATGGCTTGGTTCATCTTCTGTTACCCCAGTATATGTGTCTACCGGGAAGTGGGTTCACTCTCGCTGTTGGCCTAGTGCAATTTGATGTGCATCGCATGGCAGCACATTCTCAGCACACCAGCGCCAGCATAACTGTCCTGTCGACGTGCGTGCCTCAGGCACAGGGCAGACTATGATTTTTTCAGCTCTATGTGCTGCGAAGTTGAGCATACACATGGTATAAATTACATTATAATAACAGATCCTGCGTGACGAATGTTTGGGATCAGGACGAAAGTGTTTCGGAAAAGATTACTACTTCATATATAAAATAATAAATGTGTTAACAATGGTGGAGGCGGAGAAATGAGTTGGAAATAAAAAAAGCGAGAACCCAACATGCTTGAGTTTCTATTGGCATAGTGAAGAAGGAAAAATTCAAAAACTGGTTTTTCTGTCCCCTGGCTACTTTAGCGCGTAGGGAAAACGTTGGTTGAATATCTTGAAATCAGGCATAACTCTGGTGCAGATATTGCTCAAAACACCTAGAATTTTTTTGTTCCTAAAATGTATCTGAGACGGTGTAATGCAAAATTGACCCATTGCTTAAAAGTCAGTATGTGATGAATGTTTGTCCTGAAATCAATACGATGTTGAAGGGAACTTTAGTGTATGAGACCATATGGAATAATTGTCAGGAGTACCTACGTTACAAACGATAAAAATTAATTTGAAATGATTAGCGTCAAAATTCAAATCAAGATACCTCGTCGGAATAACCTTTCATATAACGATCTAGGTATCATCTATTTGTTGCCTGATCCTCGTACAGTTTCAATTATAACTAATTTTCTTACTAGCTATACCTGACAGGATATTAACTAAACTTTTTACTCTAGCATCGTTTTATTTCACCTAGAGACCCGCTGAGCACCGCTTTTGTCGGTACTTTCATTTTCGATATCGATAAGTGGCACAAATACCGTGGCAATGGTGCATTAAAGAAATGTTCACGTACCGATGCTTTTTTTGAATTAACTGGTATCTACTGGTAATTAATAATTACTATCCTGTTTGTTTTGCCTTCCAAAGGACATACTAGACCACCAAGGCGTAGATTAGGTGTCTGTTTAGAAAAGAAAGGCTGCAGTTATGTGGAATAATTTTGACACGAGTGCCTACGTTACAAAGGATGAAAAAGAAGTTGAAATAATTAGTGTCAAAATTCAAATCAAGAGAGATGGTCGTAATAGCTTTTCATATAACTCGAGAGGCACTCTTGGGCGTCTTTTATTTGTTGCCTGATCTTTGTACAGTTTCAACTATAACTGATTTTCTTACCAGCTATTCATGTCAGGATATAGACTTTTCAATATAGCTTCGTTTTATTTCACCTAGACACCCACTGCGCACCGTTTTTGCCGGTACTTTCATTTTCGATATCGATAGGTGTCACAAATACCGTGGCAATGGTGCATTAAAGAAATGTTCACGTACCGATGCATCTATTTGAATAAGCTGCTATCTACTGTTGATTAATAATACTATTCTGTTTGTTTTTGCTTCCAATGGACATACTTGACCACCAAGCGTAGATTAGAAAGGACGTGAGTCCATACTTTGAGACTGAAGGATAGGATACGGGGAAAGGTGATAGAAATTGCGACATTATATCATGTGCACAACTGTGTAAATAATTATTTGAGACTTTGTTTGACCGTGCAAAATAAATTCGATCGATCCATCGATATCGCTGAGACGGTGAATATCTGAGAGACTTGGTGATAGGAAAGTGACAGATATATGAAACGCAGAAATATGGAAGAAGGTCAATTTAAATGTGGATCCACAAAAGCTTTGTTCTACAAATCGTTGAATCATACCTGAAACAGTTCATCTTATGTTGGTCTGAAGCAGATTAACTATTTTGGAGAGTTTTGGGATACGCTAGTGTATTATGGAGAGTCACATGTACAAAATGGTTTTCAAAAGTTCATCATTGGCGTTTGCGTCTGCAAGTCTCCAAGCCAAACAGGACGCCAGAACGCCACTGATTTATGCAAAATAATATTCGTGAAGTATCTTTAAATAAACTCTCTCTCTCTTCGAGTTTCTGTTCCAGCACATTGTTTTGAATAAAAAATTATTTCATTAAATGGTACATCAATCGTAATGCGAGCATAAAAAATAGCAGCGGGGATATTAAATAAATATGACAAGTCTAAGGCACACATTCTCAATCGATCCATGAGGGCTCAGTGTTGCTTGAGAGTTGATCAATTGTTGAATTTCAAGCAAACCATAATGCACCCCTTGTGGGTAGAAATTTGCGTTCCATAGTAGACTGTCACAGATGTCATTTTGAAAGTATAAGATCTTTGAAATTTTCAAATTTCCCAGGTGGGGAAACTTTCCTGGGTTATGAGGCTCGTCGATTTCTTAAAAATACAAACTTTTCAGAAGCTCTGGTTTTACGTATAAGTTTCCTCATTTTCCAGAGTTGCGAGAAGCGTTTGAAGCCGAAGCTCAAGAAATAAAGAAACCTCGCCTGCTTCTGTCAGCTGCAGTTCCCGTAGGTCCAGACAACATCAAAGCAGGCTACGATGTCCCAGCTGTAGCTTCCTACTTGGACTTCATCAACCTGATGGCCTACGATTTCCACGGCAAGTGGGAACGGGAAACTGGTCACAACGCCCCTTTGTACTCTCCGTCCAGTGACAGTCAGTACCAGAAGCAGCTGAATGTGGACTATGCGGCGAGCCTCTGGGTGAAGCTGGGAGCACCCAAGGAGAAGTTGGTTATTGGTATGGGAACCTATGGCAGGAGCTTCACATTAAGTGATCTCAGTAAGCATGGGGTACACGCTCCATCAAATGGTGGCGGAAAGGAGGGTACATACACAAAGGAGTCTGGGTTCCTGGCGTACTATGAGGTAGGTGAAGATCAAATAGAATGTTGATAGCGTGCATAACGTGTCATGTACCAGATTTTGCGCGGAGTACAAATGCAACAGAGCAAGATGTTCGACTGCGTAAAATACATTTTTCGACATGTTTTCTCATACTGATTTTGAATGATAAAGCAATAACTTCATCAAGGATGAATTTAGCACATTTTCCTTATCTGTGAACGATTTTTGAAGGTACCCTTCACGAACTGACAAATATGGAAACTCAAGAAGTTGACCATTATGATCATTCAAATAATTCTCCGAGGAGACAAGAAAGACTGAAGTTATGTGGAATGAATTGTTCAAATGAAGGTGCATTCTTCAAAGCGATAAAAACAGCAACTTCATATATGTGAATGAAAGCTAGTTATCGGAAAATAATTGTATGTTACGGACTGACCTAAAAATCTCACGGACTGACTTCTGCGTCAGGTGACTAATCCGTGATGCAAAAATTGCCGTCATCTGCGATGGTTATATTTTATCTGGATTGTAGTTAAATAATTCAGAGATAATAGAAATATAAAAAGGACATGGATTTTTTGAGTATTTTGTAATTGGTTTGGAGCTGCTACTAAAAAAAAAACGAAGTGTGTCTCGCACTATGCTACCGGTAACTTGACGTTCTGCACAAGTTTTAACCATGTTTGTTGCACAAATCACAGCTTACAGACGTTGTGTTTAAGAACTGAAGTATACGCGCGTCTGCAAATACATTTTTATTAACATAGAGGAACTACAGTGCCAAGATGACATAGCTCCTTGCTGTAAGACTGTAGTGTGTCTGTTTATTGACAAATTGGAAGCTATAAAACCATCGTTCAAGTATATTTGATTTAGCCTCAGCTCTATATCATCTTACTTATCATTATTGGCCGAATAAACAAATATAATATGTAGTTGGATATCGGATAGTTTCAACTGACAGTAATATAACAACAGGTCGTGCACTGTTACCGTAGCAAAAATCTTCCTTCAACTTTTATTGCTGCTTGTGGATTTGTATCCCGTTCCAGGGCATACATGTCACGAACTGACATAAAAGTTCGAAGTTCTATGAAACATCCGATTCGATAATTATGTCTTTGTGAAATAAGAAACTTCAGATCTTTTCGGGATAATACGGTGGTACATAAAAACAAAATTGTTTTGAAAAATAGCGAAGAATAACACGTTCAATTTTTGCCAATATTTGGTTGCACCGATGAGTATGTATTCTAAAGTTTTGTTTTTCCACAGATTTGTGAGATGCTGCAAAACGGCGCCACATACTACTGGGATGAGGAAATGAAGGTACCATACCTGGTCCAAGGTGACCAATGGGTCGGTTTCGATGACGAGAGATCCATCAGACATAAGATGAAGTGGATCAAGGAGAATGGTTTTGGCGGAGCTATGGTATGGACGATAGACATGGATGACTTCACAGGAACAGTTTGTGGAGGAAATGTGAAATATCCTCTCATTGGAGCTATGAGGTATGCAAAATACAATAAGTTGGCTGAACTACATACTACACCTATCGCTATTGTTTTCAGAGAGGAGTTAAGGGGAATTTCTAGAGGTAAGGATGCGAAAGATATGGATTGGGAGACGATAGCTGGTCCAACAGAGGAAGAGCTAGCGGAAGAGGAAGAGGAAGCTGAACTCAAAAAGTCTACGAAAATTGATGTCGCCCAAGTTCTCAAACGCGTCAGAAAACCATCAATCAAAAAAAGCAACAAGAACAGCTTACTGAAGACCATAAACAAAAAAGGTAAACGCAAAGTAAGGCTTACTTTACTATTGAAATAGGTAGGCTATATAAGATGTTAATAACCATATCCAGGCTTTAATATCGTCAACATCCAGTCTGAGTATAATTGCAAAGTTGTAGTTTCGTTAGTGATCCAAAAAATCTTTAACCACTTGGACATCATTCACAAAATGGAGTGCAACTAAACTGTAGATAAGCTCGGTGCTCAGACCATGTTTTGTTCCACATTGTGAAATTTGCGGGAACTTATAGTTTCAAGGGTCATATGATAGGATCTAGCTAATAGGTCTTTAGTGTTATACAAATATGCTGTTTTGTTCCAGTACGAGCTCCTCAAGTATTCTGCTATGTAACCAGCTGGTCTCGCAAGCGACCTAGTGCAGGAAGGTTCATGCCCGAAGATGTCGATGCATCACTATGCACACATGTTGTCTACGCTTTTGCTACCTTGAAGGAACACAAACTTGCGGAAGCTAACGACAAAGATCCTGATATGTACGATAGGCTAATAGCTCTTAGGGAGAAGAATGCCCAGTTGAAGGTGAGTTCAGTTTACGATTGCTTCCAATCAATTCTAAGTTATCGGTTCATTAGGTTTTTCATAACACAAGGAATTGGCAAACAAGCAAACATAGGTATTTTGAGTTCACATTAATTCAAAGACTTACATATCGGTTTTTGGTTTTGTAACTATATTTAATCGAAAGTACATCTTTGCCATACAAAAGAATTCAAGAAACTTTTGAGTAATGCATGACTGAGAAGTGATTTAAATATTCAGAGGAACTTATTTATGAATGTCAAATTCGGTGTATTCATATTTAACATCCCGAGACTAAAAACAATTTCCCCAACGAAACTCGAATATTTATTTTTCAGGTCTTGCTAGCTATAGGAGGCTGGGCATTCGGTTCCACACCATTTAAGGAGCTGACGGGCAACGTGTTTAGAATGAACCAGTTTGTCTACGACGCCATCGACTTTCTTAGGGAATACAAATTCAATGGCCTAGACATAGACTGGGAATATCCTAGAGGAGCTGATGACAGGGCTGCGTATGTAAACCTGCTTAAAGAGATACGAGTCGCCTTTGAAGGTAACGAGAGCTTATTTAATACCAATATACACACCGCGGTATTGCCAGTAATTTCGTTGTGGAGTAGCTATTATACTGTTGATTAGACTGATCAGCTATGAGGTTCAACTAAACACTAAAGCTCTGAGTGAATATAAGATACTAACCTCCTTACCTAAATATTTCCAAAACTACCCACCCTAGAAAAAAGTTTTAAGGTTTCGAAGGAACAAAACGACTGTGACCTTGATCATTACCACTACCTTCGAGGTCGTTTCAAAGTTAAGTGAATGCTTTCAAAGGAACTCTTTTTTACACCAGGAAGAGAGGACGAGATTCTTCATCCGAGTATGACCTTGGCCATAACCATAACCATAACCTTCAAGACCAAGTAAAGACATTTGTCGCAGTGAAAATGTTCAACAGCACATTTGTGAGGTTTGTGGAGACCACTCAAAAGCTTCCTTCCAGGTCAAATCAAATTTTTCAAATAAAACTGCACATTTTTACCCCAGGATTGAAAAAAGCAGGAAATGTTAGCCGGAATGTGACCTTGGTCTCTAAGTCAAAGTCACTGCAATCTTAAATATTACTTGTAAGGCTACCTCTTGACTTTTATGCCACAATTGCAGAGGTAAACAAATTTTATATTTAAGCGTGTGACATTTTGGAATGGCGTTGAAGGTGACGATTGTGGTCACGGCTAAGGTCACCCCAACAAAGCTCGTCGCTTGGCTGTGGAACAGTTTTGCTAGACTAAATTGTTTCCAATATCTTGATTTGACCTTGAAGGTCATGGGAATGATCATACTTGAACGTACATTTTCGCGCTCCTTCCAATACCGGTATAAAAAAGGGGACGCCAAGTATATTTCATACGGTGAAGAAAACAAAATGTATATACCTCGTTCAATGAGAGCCAACTCGTCAAGCTCAATGGCAAGTCCGTAGTTTAAGTAGGAAACACGAAATTCCTAAGCATTCGTCTTGATGCAGATCTTCAGTAGGAGCACCACATAAACAAACTACCTGAAAGCTTGTCATCTGTTAGTTATGCAATCTGGAGGCTACGACAAGTATGTCCAAAGACCCTTTACAATTTCATATTACACTGATAAACACACACACAGTTTTTGGGTGTATCTTATCTATTTTGTGACCCTCAAATCAAGTCTAAAAACAGATTTTTTTTATCACCCACAGATATTCGGTAACATCTACTTTTATGAACCAGAATACGTAACATCCCCTATTGCTTCATTTCTCGTCGTTTATTCGATGACGCACATTTATAATGTTAAGACCTGTCTATTCTTGTTTATTATATGCGAGCTCTATGTTTGAGAGCATATTGCGTTTATTGATAGAATAATAGCAGCCGATTCAGTTACGTTTTCTGTGTTGAAGAGTACTGAGATGTTCTTAGTACTGTTAATTTTCGTTAAAACGATGTGTTGTTTTTAGTTTATTGTGATCGAGACTAGCTTTATGGACAATGCCTAGAAATTGTGTAAATAGTGCGAATATTTGTTGTTATGTGTGCGAAGCGCTAACTTTTAAATCACAAAAACGTACTTTTACTCCCCTTGTGTTGAAAGCATACGAACTTTATTTTGGAATTAAAGTTGGCAACCAAGATAAACTATGGGCCCCTCATATATGTTGTAGGACTTGTGTAACGTTGTTAACAGGTTGATTAAGAGGCGACAATCGTAAAATGCCCTTTGCGGTACCAATGGTTTGGAGAGAACCGAGATACCATACTGCTGATTGCTATTTACTCGTATGCCTCACAAATATTAAAGGTATTTGACCAAAATCAAAATATACTGTTAAGTATTTTAATTTACCATCAGCTTTGTGGCCCGTTAAGCACAGTGATGAACTTTCTGTCCCGGTTCCACCAGAATCTTGATCTTTGGATGAAAAAGTCGAATCCACCGATTCTGAAAGTGATGCTACAGAAAGCGTAAAAACTTCCGATCCTTCGTTTGACCTGTCAGGATGTTCAACGGAGCCGCATTCGATCACACAGGGCGAACTTAATGACTTAGTTCGAGATTAATATGATGGAATCTTCTCCACGGTGATATTAACATTACTTTTTTCCGACAAAGGCAACAAGACCTCGCACACTGTTTCCCTCAAGAAAGGGAGTTGATGTCAGAATTTGTTTGACACGTTAGGACAGAAATATGATCCAAATGATTGGGGCCTGTTCATTGATTCCTCTAAGCTTAGTTTAAATGCGGTATTGGTACGCAACGGTAATAAATGTCCATCTGTACCTATAACGCACGCAGTTCATATGACGGAATCGTATGAAAATATGCGAGTTCTGTTAGAGCATATCCGTTATAACGAAAATGGATGGGCCATATGTGCAGATTCAAAGGTAATAGTCATTTTTCGTGGAATGCAACTGGGATATACCAAATATTGTTGTTTTCTTTGTGAATGGGACAGTCGTGCGCAAGGCCGCATGAACAGAAGGAGTAGCCACTACGTCAGGTATTAACTCCGGGCCTCAAAAACGTTGCTGATGAACCACTAGTTGATCCCAAAAACGTGTTGTGAAGTTATGGATCGAAATGGAAGAGTGTTTCCGAGACTTAGTGAGGCAAAAATTAAAGAGGGTATATTTGTTTGTGCACAAATACGGAAAATCATGAAGGATGATGTACGAGTACTTGACAGTGGTTCAGATCAAACTGAATTACGAGCTTAGAATGCTTTTAAATCAGTTACTGCAAGCGATACTTCAGGAGCAACATATCACCGTAAAACATCGACAACAACATTCTGAGATTAATGTTTATTTGAGTATTTGTTAGTGTCCTTACGCACATATCCTTATACATATTTTACGAGTATAAGCACCAAATAGAATGCCTTATTGCAAAAAAACCGTGGGTGATACATAAAAATCGAATGCTATTTATGGCTTTTTAAGTACGTTTTACATAATAACCACCTTATTTTGTCCATGTCACAAAAAATTATATTAATTTTGTTCACCAGTGTTATCATGCAAAGTTTGCTTCTAGGGTAAAGTATGGTATTTCGAGTCGTACGCTCAAAATCAAATTTATATAACTTTCCAGTCAATTCAGATTTTCATACTTATAACACATGTAATAATACTGTAATAGTCATCCTTGCACGTAATTCCATTCTGAAAAAAGTCCCAACTATCGCGGCTTAAAACTGTTTAATAAACTAGAAAATAATATTGAAAATGTTAATGATCCTGGGCGTGTTCAAAAAGACGCTGACTAGCTACTTCGGGAATAAGCCCCTCGACAGTCTGTCGGGATATCTGGGTTCTTAAAAGTGAGCTGCTAAGCCTCTACTAAAACTCTACTTTTTTGTAAAATTATATGTATACCATCATTCGAATGTGTATCGACGTTTCGATTGGAATAAATTGATTTTTATACTATTACTATATCCTTCATGTAGATAGAATGAAAGAAAAACGTCTAATAAGTTTCACTTACGTCATATCACTGTGATTCTTTCAAATAAACAGGAGATTCAAGTTATTCGGAACTGAAAGTGCTTTAATTCGTTGACGTAACTCCTGCTTAACACAATACATTTGACCTTGCGGTCCACTATTATGGTGATTGTCATGGATAGCCGATGAGCGATATTCCTCATAAGAGCAATCCAAATTGTTCACTAGTTCTTTCCTGACTGAACCATATTGCGATATTGTCATATCTAAAAACCTTCCATCAATATTCCACATGAAACGACCCCGGCTCGGAATATTGTCTCGAAGCGTGGATGACTTTTAAACTGTAAAGAAATAATGTCATCGGCTCGTTTCCGCGGGAAAAAACAAACTCCAACAGATGTCAATGTTTTTTGAGAGCATTTTGCGATTACTGAATCAAATGACAATTTGACTGTGATGTGCGCATTTCAGGTGAAGCTAAGAGCAGCGGACAACCGCGACTTCTCATCACAGCTGCAGTACCAGCCTCCTTCGAAGCTATTGCAGCTGGCTACGACGTTCCAGAAATAGCGAAGTACCTTGATTTCATCAATGTGATGACGTATGACTTCCATGGACAGTGGGAACGAACTGTTGGACATAACTCTCCTTTGTTCCCATTGGAGAGTGCTACTAGCTATCAGAAAAAGCTGACTGTTGTAAGTATCTCTCAAGCAAATACTAAGGAACTATAGTGGAGACCATTAGACATGGTCATTTAAATAAGTTCACACTGAAGTAAAATTATCTTGATAACATGGAACATATTATGGGTAAATTACAGCTAAAGACAGCCCTGGATGTTCCAAATACACACAAAATGACCAGTCGCCTTGCCCGGCCATTGTCGACAATGGCCATGAAGGGCTGAGCAATGTTGATAAATAGATAAAAAACTTATTTTGCAGAAACCAGAAAAATAAAAAACAATCTCAGCAAATGGAGTATTACCTGTAACCTATGGTTGACAAAAAATCCTTTGATTTCCGAACCCCAACAATAAGATTGATATATTACTCAATGCTTAAGAACGATTCCCTGTGATCGCGTTTAGTTTCTACAACGGCAGTAATGATTTCTGCAAATCGCTGTTTGACGAGCATTAGCGTTTTTTAAATATACGAATACCCTGGAATAGTAGTCCGTCAGGTATTCTTTGCTAAAAGGCTGAAGTAAAAGTTTTAGTACATCAAAGTTGCAATTTGTTTATGACCTAGATAATGACCGCGGAATAAATATTGAAAATATCTCGAAGCCTGCAATCGCTGGTCTTATATTTGGTATTTCAATATTTCCAGGACTACTCAGCACGCGAGTGGGTGAAGCAAGGCGCTCCCAAAGAAAAGCTGATGATTGGCATGCCCACATACGGTCGCAGCTTCGAACTAGCTAATGAGACCCAATTCGATATCGGAGCCCCAGCAGTCGGAGGAGGCACTCCTGGAAAGTACACCAACGAAGCTGGCTTCATGAGCTACTACGAGATCTGTGACTTTTTGCATGAAGACAACACCACCTTGGTGTGGGACAATGAACAACAAGTACCTTTTGCTTACAGAGGAAACCAGTGGATTGGGTTCGATGATGAGAGGAGTTTGAAGACTAAGGTAAAATCTTGAATCATCTACCCACTAAATCCTATAGTCAAATAAAACTAACGTGGACACGGCCGCGCTGAGGTGAATTCAACATCGATCTTTCTAACATTAAACAATTGCAAGATCGTTCTAAATAGTACTGTGCAAGCCTCTCCCCATGTCCCTTTCCAACTGTCTATGCGACGCCGTTTTTAGGCTATATCAGGGCTACGGATCAATTTCTTGAGATAAGTGAAGGTCATATTTCTAGAAAAAAAAAGCTCTGAAGCTTGGCGAAATATATCGAAAATTCTAAACAAATCAAACTGAGAATTACCTGACAAAGTACCTAACCTGCTACCTGACAGCTAACTGACAATACAGCTAACTGACTGAATCAAATCAACGCATAATTATAGTGACACTTCAACTTTTGTTTGTAATGGAAGCACTGCGGAGCAACACTTTCATTTTTACATCTACAGTGTGTCCGCAAAGTCGGAGTTTTCCTTTACCCGACGTGTAGATCTTGAAAACATAAGCAATTTTTCTTAAGGGAACCTAGATAAAGGGCTCTGCAACATCAAATATATCTGAATACCGTCCTGTAGCCGCGACCCGCGATATCACCGACTGGTACAAGTGGGTCGGGGTCAGTGTGTCAGGTCAGTATGCAACCTTCAACCGACGGTTACGGTCACGCGTGTAGATGTAAACGAACCCGTATAATCGATTGCGTTTCAAAAAACAACAAGCACTAGAGACGTGGCTAGATAAGTGCAAGTATCAAAAACTAAAGTGTGGTAAACGCTGCGTGAAGAGGGGCTGTATCCGATTCACGTCCAATGTGTACAAGCCCTTCAACCTGACGATGTTCCAGCAAGACTGCGGTTTTGTGAGTGGTTGTTGCATCAACATGACAATAATCCGGACTTTTTGAAGTGCATATTGGTGACAGACGAATCTACGTTCACGCGTAATGGGGTGAATAACTTTCGCAACACTCATGTTTGGTCAGTAGAAAATCCGCACTCTGTCCGTCGGGCACATTATCAACAAACATTTTCGGTGAATGTTTGGGCTGGCATGGTGAACGGTATGCTCATTGGACCATTTATTCTCCCAAATTTGTCATATTTGTTACCTCTGTTCGTGGTCTGCACCACCGCCGGCGTCTGCGCGGTAGTGCATCAGCTGATTTCATTTTCTGTTGGAGCGGTATAATTTCGGGCAGAGACGTACTTAGCCCTTCTCGTCAACTGGAGAGTGACTACTTTTTCCTTTATTTTTTTTTACTTGGTCGCCCTCGTTTCACTACACATCACCTTTGTTATTTCAAGGGTAGTTGTTTCTGAAAAGGAAAACCCCAACTTTGCGGACACCCTGTATTTCGTGTTTTAGTGTAGTATTGGATTTGGAGTACAAAGTGTTCCAAGTGTTCATGTAAAAACACTAATTTAATTGTGACCATTGAGCTATTAAATAACAATAAAGTACTGAAATGAAAAGAAAAACATTGATGAAACTTAAAAATGCGAGTATTCTAAAATATTAAAAATGTAATTATTTCACAGGGGCCATAATGCTTGAGTTATATTTTATTCAATTGACATGGCGCTTTATGAAAGTCAGTGTATGCAAATCTATTACTTACATTTGATTTATTAGTATATCTAGAATTTAAGTAAAAGTATTGAATGTATATTATGCCAAACTGCCTCTGACATTTGACATAATGTAGCACTTAATTTTAAAGGTCGTCAATTATTTCAGAAACGATGAACCAACCGCTCTCCAGATATTCAATTTTCCACAGCAGATAGCATTGCGTTGATATGCTAAGATTGCGTTGATCATGGGAATATCGAATGACTGTTTACATTCACTCTATATACAAATATTTGGATGGGATTTTAGACAAGTAGAAATATTACTTGGTCAAAATTCCTGTGAATTCTGAAGAATGGACACATGCTCTATTGGGAAGCTTGCTGGTAATATTCGATATCAGTCAAAGCTGTCGTAGGCGGGAACTGCTTATGCCATCACACGGACCACAAAACGGAATTCTGGATATGAACCACATTGTCACGTTGAAATAAATGATAAGTGAACAAAGAATGTTGTTGTAAAATGAGAAAATGACATATATGGGACTACAATAGAGATGACCAAAACGAAAACATCTCGTTCGAACAATCTCTCAGTCTATCATGCTATGAGAATCCGACAACAGATCAGGAATTTCTCAGTAGCTCTGAGGACATGCTACAATATATCGATCAGAAACGCGACTCCGGACATGTCGATTTTTTAGGTTATTGTAATACCGTTAACACCTTTTTCAATAATGGAAATATCTGCATTCTTTATAAATTAAATATTGGAAGGTGGCAACGCCCATAACGTTGATTTGAAAGCAGCATTTATCATGGTCTGTCATTGGTTATTTTTCCCACGTTGTCTTGATGATATCTTGACGTTAGCCTCAATTGCGTTGCGTTCCGACATTTTAGATTTGCCGCATATTTTTCACACGTTTGATTAACTAATCGTAATTTTACAACGCATAAATATAAAATAAGTTTGAAGGTGACTCTCTGTACCAATATAGACTGTAAATAAAAATAAAAATCCATATTTTCATCACATAGTTACTCCCTATTATCCAAGCTTGACAGATATATTGCTGGAATCCGCAATTGCAGAGAGCAATGGAATAGTGTCAAATTCACAAATCTAGACAAGTAGAAATATGTGCTGTCCGTACTTTTCTCTAGTGCAGCTGTTTGTATTGAGATACGTAGTAGAAAGTAGCGTTTGAGATTCTTCTTTCTTTTCCACTTATTTATGTTTCACCAAATATATTGCCGTCAGTGGCTGTACCTGCTCATTCCCCCTGTTTGTTCTGTTACAGATGGCTTGGTTGAAGGAAGAAGGCTTCGGTGGTATCATGATTTGGTCTGTGGACATGGATGACTTCCGAGGATCGTGTGGTGGATCAAAATATCCATTGATCAATGCAATGAGACAAGAGCTGGAAGGGTATAAGGTTAAGCTGGAATTTAGCGGTCCTTATGAAACGGCAGTCGGTTCTGGACAGTACACCACTAAAAATCGTAAGTAGAACGAAATCATATCAATGAAGTTACGTCAAAAAGCAAGATATCTATTATTATATTTTCAAATTTCTTTTCGTAGCTAAAATCCGTGACGGTGCCACCTTACTGACTACATGTTACTAAATTCGTATGCGTACTATGCAGGGTGTACCAATATTTCGTGGACACAGAAGAACCGGATAAAACATATACCACGTCTAGAAATTGTCGTTCATCTAAGGCTTAGTTAGTCTATTTTATAAATTTACTTGCTGTTTTTGTACAACTTTAATAGTTTTTGGCAGAAAGTGTTTTTTTCAAGCAGTGGTGGAGAGGTTTTTATCTCCTCAATCGTGTCAAAACGACGTCCCCGCCAGAAGTCGCACGGAGCCGTATCGGGTGAATACGGTGGTTGCGGAACGATATGAGTCGAGTTTTTGGCAAAACCAATGCAGTATGACATGGTGCATTATCGTGATGAAAGAACCAAGAGCTGTTCGCCCATAATTCCGGCCGTTTCAGACGAATAGCTTCACGCAAAAGACGCATAACGCTCAAATAATATTCTTTGTTGACAGTTTGGCGCGGCGGAAGGAATTCATAGTGCACCATACCACGCTAATCAAAGAAAACTGTCAACATGACCTTGATCTTGGATCGACTTTGCCGTGGTCTATTCGGTCTTGCTTCACCTTTTGCACGAAATTCGCTGAACTGGTCGGTGGTTTCAGGGTCGTATGCGTAAATCCAAGTCTCTGCATTACAAATGGTCCTGATAGTCAGACAGCAAAGATTCACACACATCAACGCTGTTTTTCCAAAAAATCGAGCGATTTTGGCACCAATTGGGCCTTGACGCGTTTGGGACACAAAACATCCTTCACAGTGGTTTGCGCTGAGCCAAATAATATTACAATACTATCAGCAATTATCAAGCACCATTTCTTTGATTTGTTGGTCGTGGTCCTCGTCGGTAGACGTTGATGGTCGTCCAGAGCGCGGTTCGTCTTCAACGCGTTCTCTGTCCGCTTGAACTCGTTGTACCACTTATAAACGTTTTTTTGTGTCATGGTTTGATTACCAAAGGCCTTCCGCAACATTGTCAATGTTCCAGTTTATGGACGGGACTTGCAGACCTCAATTGAACCTGAATCGAACGTTTCAGGAACCAATTATGCCAATAAGGAGCCAACCTATTTATATGCCTCTCTATTTCTTTATAGCAAACGAAGTAACTTGTGAGGAAGAAGATGGCCACATCAGCTACCACCCAGACAAAGCAGACTGCAAGATGTACTATATGTGCGAGGGCGAAAGAAAACATCACATGCCTTGTCCAGCGAACCTGGTCTTCAACCCTGATCAGAACGTTTGTGACTGGCCAGAGAATGTAGCCAGCTGTCAACAGTTTACTCAAGCGCCACCCACAAGTTAAACAGTGATTGTATATAGAAATTTGAGAAAATATGTGACCTTGAAAAATATGTGCTTCAGGAAAGTCTGATCAATCGTAATTGGATTTTAAATAGATAATGTACATAGCATGGAGAAAATCTAGTGACGTGATCAAAAACAGTTTTTAAAATTCCAGTTATTATGGCCAAGAGGCATACACAATTTATAGAGAGCTTACCCAGTAGTCTGATTGCTAGGTCAATAATACGATAGCGTGATGATGATTCTTAAACATAGGATCCGATTCAAGCAAAAAAAATAATTTTCATGAAGAAACTGTAACATCATCAACTTGGGAAGTTTATACCTTTATCGCTTTGTAAACAAAAAAATGAAATTCACTGACAATAGTGCAAGACTGTACAGATAAATTTCTATTGTTGGGAAATACCATTTCATATGTTAAATGACACAATTGATCTTTGTAACGTAGTATGTACATCTTACCATAACAATCTATAATGATCAGTGTAACCATTCTTCCTTACATCTTCCCTCAAATGATAGTGTAAGATTATTGCATAAGTATAATAATTTTTCTTTCCAGCAACCAACCGTTTATTTGTGAGTATTTTAGTAACTAGCAACTGGACTATGTTTTTGCATTACTACTTCTTCTTATTTCTAAGAAAATTGTAGAACCTCGATATTCATAGGATTCATTATATAAAAAATCTCGAAATACGTAGTTATTTCTTCACAAGATTTCATATAGCGAGATTTCATACGCATAAAAGGGCTGCGTGGCTTTCGAAATTACAATTGCTTCCTTGGAAAAACCTAATCTAAATAAAAAATACATGTATACTGAATCGTACAATACCACCCAACAACTTGACAACGTCAAATATTTATGATTCTTTATATTACTATTTCTCAATAATATCCAAGGTTGTTTGAGTGCTAGAAACAGTATTTTGCATAGTGTATATTTTTAGGTGAAACTGAAATCATTGGTAGACAGCTTCACACATAGAGCGGATCCATAGATACACCGACACATTTCAGTGCGTAGAATTCACTATACCTTCTACGCAGCTCTGAAATCTCAATCATGATGCTATGATAAAATCATGGGTAGGGTTCAATCGTGACAAAGTCAGTTTCTCTACTATGATGAAAATATCTTGTTAAACATTATATCAAACAACAGAAATGCTAAGAACTCTGTTAATTTTCCGCTCGGTTGGCTGTACATTATATCACTCCATGTTGCTTGATAAAGTATAATCATTCGTGGATCTGAATAGATTTTGTAGTTACTACTACTAGCAATTTAGCATCTATGCTTATAAGAGTTTCCAATTTATTTTTGAACATAATTTTTACCTTACACAACGTTGTCTTCTGAACTACGTAGTATAGTACCTCTAGGAGAAATCTTATGACTGGAGTGGGTTCAGTTTCACCAAAGAAGTGTTCTATAGGTATTAGAAGTTCAGATGATAATTGAAACAAAACTGTTTGCAAAAATCTGCCTTGGATCAAGGTAATTATCTATTTTTTATATGTGAGTGATGTCTGATTGAGCTTTAAATTGTATCTTTGCCGTACTCTCATTCACCTCCATTTTCCGTTGTTTATATTTAAGGTTGTGCAATTTTATCTTTTTTACAGAATATAAATTTAACTTATAATGTATATAGTAAAAATGAATGTTTCTTTTATATTCGTTTCGTTGTTTTATTTCATATCAAGCATTTCCTACCAGAAAGGAGGAATACAAAATTCAAAGCTGAAAGTACTAAAAAACCTGGTTGCTCAAGTACGTCTGTTAAAATAATATTTTTGAGTACTTCTAGTCGTTGTTTTTATCAAAATGTGCACCTTCAAGTGTTCTAGTCTAGAATCGCAACATTAAAATGAGATGGTTTCAGGGTAAATGCGTAAGAATTGTGTTTCCTTATTGAATGTCATTTCCAAGGGGGCGAGCTTTGGATTCAATTGAAGAAGAAAGATTTATATGAACGTACGTATGTGTTAATCTAAACTTTTGGAACCGTGGTACGCTACTTTTTTTAATATAAAATGAAATCAGTATTCATGCATGAGCAGAATTTTTTCAGTTCAACGGACAGTTTTCTCCTGAAAAAATAAAACCTATTTTTCTGCATGGAGTGTTGTCATATTAACGGGATTGAAAAAGTCAAGCAACCCAACCTGAAGTAATTCAAAATTTCAAGAATATTTTTTATTTTAAGAGAAATCAGTGGCGTAGCATCCATTTCACAAATGCTACTGGTGGAAATTAAAAAAAACTGGTACATCAAGAGTGCCTCTCAATACATTGTACATGTATGCCAAATTTGATCGAAATATCTAAAGTGGTCATTACAGATATAATGAATGATTCCTTCCTGAAAACTTTACCAAAATGAAAGAGGTTTAGTACAAACGTTCACATGAAACTTTCTTCTTGAAATGGACCCAACAATCGCCCCCTTAAATAATGACATTCAAAATACCCCAGCGACTACTAACAGTAGGTAACTTCGGTGCAGATACTGCGAGTTGGTTTCATTCTGTGTAGATGCAAATTGGCAAGTTTGCCATTTTCTCTCACAAATCTGGGTAAAACATTTATAGCTAAAGTGCGTTTATGAAAATACGTAATACCGTGAACAATAAAGAAGTACAACTAAAAGGTCTTTGGACTAACGTGTTCCAGAGGCATGTTACTTTACTGAAATTGTATCTGTGGGAATGACTGACTTCAAGCAATGTCCAAATAAGCAAAGCTTCATGTAGAGTGGCTCTATACTTCTTGTGCATCCATTCAAGTTCGCAACGGTAGATGAATAAAAAATATGCGTGACATTAGATATAGAACGTCTTTGACTGATACCAAGGATCCGTCATTGACACCCTGCAACTTCAAACCCCAGTTTCCAACCACTCCATAAAATTTCTGAGCATGAGCAGGGATAACTACAACGTCAAAACACAATGTTTCGGTGATTTTTGTTTTTCTTCCCTAGCTCTACCGTCACTGATACAGTATTCAAAACCCAAAGTTTTTTTGTTCCTAGGGTAGTAGCCATCTGTTGCCAAAGAGTTATGATGGGGCTAAAGGCCACTGTCAGTTCCTCGGTCAAGTAGCATCCAGGTGTTCCGCCACTGCTCGGTACGTATAATCAATGAATATGAATACCTGGGAATTACACAATCTATTTACTTGACTCCATAAACGATGGAAGTATCACAATAACGACAATAATCGAAGTCTGTTTAATACGGCGAAATGTGTACACTCATAAAATTCAGAACAAGATATGGTAAAGATGCAATTTGACAAATTACTCCACATAGTTTTATGGACTGTTTTAAGCCGCATTCTCATTCAGTTTTATTGATCAATAATGATGCGAACATCCGTTCAACCATATTGCTCTATCGATTTGCACAGTGTGATCAAATTTATCAATTCTATGTTCACACACACACACACACCCTCCTACCCTGTGCGGTCCCTCCATCACCCCTGTTCCAGGCAACCTCAAACCCTTGAGGAGTGGGGGGAAGAGCAATCTGCTCCTCCCCCCACTCCCGCCCAAAGGCCTGGAGTGGCGCTGCGTGGTTCAGGCCGCTTGCGCATTCCCCGAGTGTGTGCTGCCGAACGAGCTATCCCCCCTTCCCCAATTTTGCCCCTTTTTCCCGAAATTTGACTCGATCGCGCACGCGTCGCGGAAGCGCGTGGTGGACGTTTCTTCCAACTGTCGGTTCTCGACTTTCTGGACGGCCTCTTTTCTTGGGGGTCCTGCGCTGGGGGCTTTTGACCTAAGCCCCTCCTAAAGGTTGGTGAGCCTTCGCTCTTTCCTCGTCGACTGGAGTCAGTCAGTCGTCGTCAGTCAGTCATTTTTGTAAGTCATTCGTCTCCTGAGGTTAGCCCCGAGTCCGTGCTTGACTCTGGCCACCTCAATCGACAGGCTTCTTTTTGTCCACCCGTTGTACACGGGCTGTTCTTTCCCCTCTTGGGTGTACAACTATTGTCGGTCTTCTCCCCTTTTCTTTGGCCTCATCAGCTGCTAGGGCCAAATATCTTCTTGTTGCAGCTGGCTTTTCGGTCTTTTGTGACGCCTTATTGTTCTTGGGTCGTAATCCAAGGCGTCTCTAATCAGCACGTTTCGATGTCTTTCGTTCTTTTCAAAGAACTTTCGGGCCCTCTCTTTCATCTGGATTACGACCGGTACCTGTCGTAGTTCGTCATATAGCACTCTGTTAGGTACATACCACGGTGCGTCCACCGCTTCACGGAGTGCCATGTTTTGTTGAGCTTGGAGCCTCTTCTTCATCGTTTTGGAAACGTAGCCCCAAGCTACTGCTGCGTAAGTCATGATTTGTAGCAGCACCATCTGAATCATGATGGTCTTATTCTTTAGTGACACTTTGCTTCTTCTGCCCGTTAAGGGTCTTAGTTTGGAGCGTGCCATCTTCACTTTCTGCACCCGGTCTTCGACATGGTTCTTCCAAGTGAGTTTCTGGTCCATCTTGACTCCAAGGTATGTGCTGGAGTCTTTCCAGTCGACCTCAACCTCTTCATCTCTTCTCCAGCCTCTCTCCATTCTGGTGGTCGTCATCTTTATTTTGGTCTGAGGTAATCTTCGATTTCTTCGGAACAGTACCGCTTCGGTCTTCTCGGGGTTGAGGCGGATCTTCCACTTGATGCACCATTCCTCTAGGTTGGTGGTCGCTCGTTGCAGATATTCCGTAACCATGCGGGGTCTCGTACTTTCTGCCGCATATGCTGTATCGTCCGCATACACATACAGTTGCGTTTGAGGAGTCTTCGGGATGTCTGAGCTGTAGATTGCATACAGCAGGGGTGATAGAACCGCTCCCTGCGGTACTCCTGCCTCCACAGTCCTCGTCGTCGAAGTTGTTTTACCGATCCTAATTCGGAATTTTCGGTGCTTCAAGTAGGACTTCACCAGTTGGATCATCCCCTTTGAGTATCCGAGGTCTACCATCTTGTAGATCAGTCCGTCATGCCAAACAGTGTCGAACGCCTTTGCGGCATCCATGAACACAGCTCCCACGGCCCGCCGAGTCTGGAACGATTTCGTTGCCATCTCGACCAGCCTTAGGACCTGGTGCTCTGCTGAATGCTCGCATCGGAATCCGAACTGTTCGTCTGGAACTACTCGGAGTTCTTCGGTTTCGTTCTTCAGTCTTCGTTCGATTACCCTTTCCGCAATCTTGCTCAATGCCGTCAACAGGCTTATGGGTCTGTAGTTTTGGGGGAACCTTGGGTCTTTCCCAGGTTTAGGAATGTTGATCACCTCGGCTACTTTCCAGTGATCTGGAAAGTACCGGTGTCTCAGTATGGCGTTGACAATGTTGGTAATTGCCATTATCGCTTTCCTCGGGAGTCTCTTCAGGACTCTGTTCCCAATTTCGTCTACACCCGGTGCTTTCTTCACCTTGAGTCTTTCGATGATTTCCCTTACCTCGCCTGGAGAGGTCATGTCTTCGATGGCTCTTCCTCCTCTGACAGCTCTCCTCGATCTTCTCATCACCTCGTCGATGAAGTCTTCGTCTTCATCGGGGTGAGTATTGAGAGTACACTGTCTCTGAAGGTTGTCAGCAAAAGCTTCTGCCTTCTCTTCGGTTGTGTACACCATCCCCTGTTCGCTGTGTATTGGGGGGATGGGCTGTCTTCTATTTCTGAGGATTTTAGCCAAGTTCCACATTCCTGGGTCGCTGGAGATAGTTCGTCGAGTTTCTTATCCCAGGTGCTCTGATGGTGCTGCTTCAAGGCGTCTCGTGCCTGTCTCGTAAGTCTGTTTGCCACCATGATGTCCGTGGGGCTTCTGGTCTCCTGGGCTACTCTTCGGGCTCTGTTTCTTTCGGTGATCTTGCGATTTACCTCGTCAGGTAGGTCCCTGAACCTGTTTGGTTGCGTTATGTCTTCCACGGTGGTTGCGGCTTCTAACGCAGCCTTAATCTTCCTTTCTAGGTCCGTGACCGCTTCTTCTATGCCTTCGGGGCTTTCGATCTGTAGTAGTGGTCCTTGTGAATAGTGCAGTCTGGTTCTAAACCGCTGCCAATTCACTCTCTTCACTGTTCTTTGTTCCACAGGTGTTATCCCATCTCCCATACAGAGAAAGATGGGGTTGTGGTCTGAGCTTCCCTCTTGCATGGCGCCGATGGTGGTGCGCATGTCGATTTCCTTCAGAATCGCCATATCTATGACGTCTGGTCTACCTCCGTTGCTGGGGTATATTGTAGGTTCGTCCGGACCTATCATGGTATATCCAGGTTCATCCATTAGTCTTTCCAGAACAGCGCCGTGACTGTTTCTGTTTCTTGAGCCCCAAATGGTGGACTTCGCGTTTAGATCACCTACGATCACGGTACTGTTTCCCAGTGCAGTGATACAGGTGACATCTTCCAGATATATCGTCGATGTGGGTGGTACGTACATCGAAACGATGTTCAGAGGGCCGTGGTCTGTTGTGCGTACCGTCACTCCTACGGCCTCTGTTGATCTTAGTTCTGGCAGTCCCAGTTCCCAGTGGGTAATGCTGGTCTTGACAGCAAGTAGCACCCCACCTCCGGTTCTGTTCCGGTCCTTTCTGTATGTCGTGTATCCCTGTATCGTCCAGTGTGGGATTTCCCCAGAGAGCCACGTTTCTTGTAATGCCATTACATCATAGTTTCCTTTTGTTAGGACTTCGCCTATCTCATATTTCTTGTTGGAGACGCTGTGGACGTTCCAACTCAATATCTTCAGGCCCCTATTTGCAATGGTTATTGGAGTGCCCA